ACGTAGCCATTATGGGACAAGGATTGAATCTAATCCAAGAGACGAATTGCAGGAAAGCAGGATTAAAAACGTAAGTCGCATAACACGCGACACGCGTCTGTCCTCGTGCGTTTGAAAGGGACTGCGCGGCGCGTTGTGTCCTTCGTCGTATTCGTTGAAATTTGCGCAACCACAGAACTCTATACGTCTGACACGGAGCAAGGTAACATTTGCGAAAATCAAGTAGTAAGGATTCTCAATCACGTCTAACAAGAATAGTACATATAGTTTTCAATATAAATATAAAGAAAAATTACAATAAGTCACACTGGAAAAAGAGTCTGGTTACATTAACTGAAATTTTGATCGAAAAAAATGAATAAATCAGAATTTTCTGGTTGTATCTATTATAATTCTAGCTGGGATAACTAGAATTTTGACTGATATGATCAGAATTCTAGTGCGTTTATTTTCAATTTTTCTCCATGCATCCATCATGATCTAAACTTTATAAATGCGGTCTCTAGACATTACATAATGTTTCAATTACTCTCTAAATCGGTGAATTCAATTGAAAAAAAGGTTAACTAAGTTAGATTCCACGTTTCATTGATTTTTTAGTTAAATTTCACTGATTATACCAGTGGCATAATTGGTACTAATGTCAATGATATTATTTACTGATTCAGATTTAGAGAGTAGACTAAACGGATACGTGGAGTTATGAACGAAATGTCCGATATGTCATCGTAGAAGGGAAGCGAGATTGCTCGGAGAAGGAACTTGAAGGTGATATCTCGAGAAGATTCTGCCGCGTTCTTTTCCATTGGGTCATCCCTTTACTTTCCTCCCGAGCGAGCGAGGAGAGCGCGCGCATTCGCGGAATCTCCTCGCAAGTCACTGGTTCGCTTGAATCGCTCCGTTTCGCGTTATAGGAATATCGCGTCGCGTCGCTAAAGCAGCAACAAGTGGTGGACTTTTATCCGCCGCCGTACGCAGCGGCGCGGTGGCCCAGTTTCCGCGACGGGGCATAAATTCGCGCGGGCGCCCGTCGTCGCCCGAAAGAGATAGATTTACGATGGAGGCAGAGGCGAGTCTCCTTCCGAGAAGAAACCGCTCCGCTTCCCCACCCACGCCGCCAGGAAAAACGTACGCTTCCTCGCCCGCGCGTTTCTACATATTCTATATCATATCGGTGTGCACGCGCGCGTGAAGTAGAGCTGTCATTATTGATTCACGAGTTACTTTATATATATACGATTGACAAGCGGTAATGTTAAACACGAGCTTTCTAGTCATTCGCGCTAGAACGGCGAGCGCGAGTCGACTATAAATACGAATTCCTTGTCATTTCAACCAGGGTTGACGCACTTGAGCTTCAGTGATATAATTATAATTAATTTAGATAATTGAAGCAGCACGAAGCACAAAATGTACACAAAACATTTAACTTCCTTTTATTCTAAATACATTTCTTTTTATTTCTGGTAAGGATAATTTTGCTCAAGTTTCTCAAAATTTAGTTAGTCACCGATCTGAAAATAAATTTGTTGGGCTATCAAAATAATTACATAGATAATCTCAAACTGATTGCTAGAATGTCAAAACTGTTTACAGTATTACTCATTATATTTAAGAATCCTACATGGTTGTTTTAATAGTCCAATAAAATTATTTCCAGATCTGTATCTTACAGTTTTCGGAGATACTCTAACAAAATTGTTCTTTTCGTGCAGTGTGAAAAAAAAAATTATAATTAAAAAATTCTAAAGAAAAAGAAATTGAAGTAGAATGTAGATTTTTAGTTTGTGTTAGCTCTAATTAAGTTCTGATTATACCGCTTAAGCTCAAGTGCATCAACCTCGATGAAAACGACGAGAAATTCGTATTTATAACACGCCCTGAAGACTTAATGTCTTCGAGAACGCTGGACCTTTGGCAGGATCTTCTTTTATACTCGTATAAATGCGAGTCGCTTTGCAATACGTACGATACGACACACGGTCCTCTCTCTATCGACAGGAGATATTGACCTCAGGCGGTATACACACCAAGCGCCCAGCGGTATTTCTCTCTCTGCTATATAATATATATGTAAGTGCGTCCACTATATAATCTATACACACGCCTAACGTCATCGCAAACGCGTGCGGCTCTCCTCTAACTGCAGGCGCTATTATTTCGTCACATTAAGCTTGGCACACATATATCGCCGCCAACACCGATGAGATAGACATTCATTCGCTACTATTTTTAATAAAGAAAGAAACAGTAAAAATATATTATGCACCACCATCGATATTTTATTTTACAATATAGCGACAGTCTTGACGATACCATTGTCTTATATGTGTTACACGGAAAGGACTGTTTTACTGAAATATCTAATAAATATTCAGCTGATATAGATCTGAAAAGTAATTTCGTTGGACCATCAAAATATTTGTGTAGGACGCTCAAACTGATTGCTAGAATGTCAAAACTTTTTGTAGCATTGCACATCATGTTTGAGATTCCTATATTTATTTTGATATATATACTTCAAAATCTTTCTTTCCGTGTACGATTACATGCCCGAGGCTTAAGGAGGTTGTAAGGGCATAAAACACATATATTAATATTTTCGCTTTAAACAAACTACATACATGTGAAAGTTGTGTTCATAACATTCTGGTTTTATTGAGCAACACATTTTTATAGGTTATTTATTTTATTTGTTATTAGTTTTATTGTTATAAACAAAAATTGTTAAAATAATAAGAAAAATCTAAATGTTTTTATATAAATATATTAAGTACTAAACATGACTTATGCAAAGTTTCATTGAGATTCACCATTAGTTTATAACAAATAACAAATTTTATTTATTTACTGAACAATTAATGCCTGCATCTCAAGATAACTTTACAAAAATATTGTTGAATTCCTAGAGTATTTATATAAAAAAACTGAGATTTTTATCATTATTTTATAATACATTTTCATATATTTATATTAGAGTACAAATTAAAAAAATATTACTACTTATTTAAATAACTTTTGATCCAGATGGTCAATTGTTTCTATTTTTTTTGTATTATTATTAAATGAAATTTAGAATAGTCTATAATTTTTTCAAGTAGTTCTTAACATATTGCATTTGCCTTACAACCTCCTTAATTCTAAAAAGAATATCAATGTATAAGAGAGGGTTCGACAGGTCTGTCGTATTCACGTAATCGGGTAATCCCGCGAGAGGTTTCTCGACGAAATGAAAGGCATTCGAATCTATCGATGACCGACGCGGTCGATCTACGTTGTGTACTCGTACGTTCGCATCGATCCCGAGAGAACCAGTTTAGATTCGACCGCGGAAGGAGAGAAGAGAGAAATACACGGGATAGTCGAAACCTGACGAGGAAGCGAGAAGACGTAGTTGGCAGAAAGTATTGTTTCAGAATCTTTCCGCGAATTAAGAAGCAATTCTTTATGTCTATCAGCTATTTAATTCTACCATACGCGATATTGTACTTTGCATTCCATAAGTTAGAATTTACTCAATATATCAAGAATATAATCTCGAAAAGTAAACGATGTGACTTTGATTCTTTTGCAAAAAATTATTATAAATCTTTTAAAAAAAATAAAGAATAGGTTAACAATCTTGCGAATAAAAGTATTTTGCTGCTAAATGTTAATATCGATGTCTCGCGTACAAACGAGACTATTCTACAGCTTCCACCTGGTGGACCAGTACTGGCTAACGGATACATTGATCAACCGCTGAAACGACGATATCATGAAATCTATCGGCACATTGCGATCAACAAGATCGATTTACAGCGCGTAGTTATGATCATAAAGAACCATAAGCGTATATAAGAAGCGTATAGATATTATTTTGATTTTTCATTTAGCTCGTTTTATTTCTGCATCTAATATTGTATATATTTGAAACTATCATAAACATATACACACGCATACATATAAAATGTGTGTATTTTATTTATTGCAAAAATTTGCAAGAGTGTCTTCTATCCGTGAGATAATATTACTGTACGCTTGGTTGAGAACCCTTGATGTATATGACTAGAATGCTATCGTAAACCAACCTCTACGAACGCTGCGCGTCTGTTCTTGCTCAACTCCATCTAATAAAATCGTTGGTTTTATTCGCGAGGGGACGATCTATTTATCATTTCAGGAATTCGCAGTCGGTGGTGTGCAGCCGTGAAAAGTGTGAGAACCTCTGTGTCGTACGAGTGGAATGCCGTGTATTTGTCATCGTATAGATCTTCTTGGTATTTGTACTTTTTTTCGCGTTTTTCGAGCTCTCGAGGCACAAAGAAAAATATAGGTGTCGATATATTATACGATTTTATTGTTCTCGTGCTCGACGAAAATTTATTAATAATATATTGCACCGACGAAAAAAATTAATTAAGAGAAATAATTCTATTTTCGGATCTTAGTGCTTAAATATTTCAAAGTAAATTTATATATACATTTCTAATTTTGCAAATCGCACGCCGAAATCTTTTTCGGTCTTGAAACGCAATCATGAATAGAACTAGAGTAGTAATAATAACACACACACACACATATATATACACACATGTATATATTAACTCTACTCTGAAATATTTGAGCACTTTAGATCCGCTTTAATTGAAAATAAGTTCATTTCTCTTAATTGGAAAAGAAATTGAATAGTCTCTTAATTGAATTGTTACGTATTGCCCGCGCAATCTCGACATACATAGAGATTAACCGGTGCGATACTCTGAAAGACGGGAACGTTGGCACTCACATTCGTCCCGGATTATCCCCAACCTTGCTTTGGGCTAGGTCATGAGACACGACACGCGCGTTAGAAGAGACGAACCTCGCTGCTTGTACGGTAAACGTTTGCAAGCAATAAACATGGGTTATCGCCGGTATGGGTGCGCGAAGACAACGCACATATACACAAATATATACTGGCACTCGCACACATTCGCTAGAGACATTCCTGATTACGGCATGAAAGATGAAACACTCACCTTCGGGTCTCAGTCTATCGGCGATAAGGCAATACGGGGGTGGTGGCGACTCTGAAATAGAAAATGATAATCTTTATTTATCATGGTACGACTGAGAACTGGATAAATAGACATATATAGCCAATAAATGATATATCATTATTAATAAATTCAATAAATTTTAATGTAAAACGTAAAATATTTTTCATTTTAATACTTTTTAATAATATGAATAATTTAGTTTAATACTCTCTTTTAACTGTAATTTATAATATACTTTTAATAGCATGTAATTATATTAAGTAACTTGTTATTTCAATAATTATATTCGGTGTTTAAATAATTAATATTAATATTAATAATAATAAAATTAATATTAACCCTCAGTGATCCAACTGGAAGTCATTTAAAGTTCCTGGGAAATTTCAAATTTTGAATTATTTTGCCGGGCATAAAAAAACAGTGAAAAATGTTACGGGTGATATCATCTCTCTAAATTTTTTGGAGTGAAATCTCACTCCAAGAGAGTGAAAATACAGCCATTTTGTGAGAGTGAAAATATTTCATTTCTTGAAAAAAATTTTCACTCTCTTACACTGAAAGAAAAGATTAGTTGCTGCAACAATTTAGATAGTAAATATGGCATAGCATTTTTATATGGCTGCAGCAACCAGTTTTTGGTTGTAGCAGCAAATTTTTAGTTAGCCTATCCGCAATATCAGTACATGATTTCGATAGGCTAAAAATTTGCTGCTACAACCAAAAACTGGTTGCTGCAGCCATATAAAAATGCTATGCCATATTTTACTATCTAAATTGTTGCAGCAACCAATCTTTTTTTCAGAATGTATCAATAAGATAATTTCTGTTAATTTTGGCCAGAGCTACTTATTGTTAAAAAATTTGCATTTAATACATTCGCATCAATCATGGGGGCACTGAAAAACAGATTCAAGGCTCCGGTAACTTTTGATTAAATCGTATTAATGACATCGATGGTAAATATTGTAACAAACGACAGGCGGCGCCCGTTAGAGAATTCCACAAATGGTAGGTTCTATTATTAGCGTAAAGTGAAACCGGTATGCCATTTTTCGTCCTTTTACGTATTGTCCTGAAAGTAATAGAGGACAAACCGCGGCGCGAATATCTCGAACGTCAAGGTAACCTGACGCTCTCCGTGTCTAAGAGAACGAAACCGCCTTCGCGTCATTCGAAGCCCACTGAGACCACGCGTGTAAGTGCATAACTGCAATCCTCAAGGAATCCTTGTCACAAGAAGCTTAGTAATCAATTAGCTTTATTTGAACATTGAATTGTTTCAAATAATTTTTACAAGTTAAAAAATTTTTTTGTATAATTCGAAAAATTTATTTCACACTTCAAAAAATATATATTGTAATTAATTCCATGAAGAAAGAATATAACATTTTTCGATGAAAATAATTAGATGTTTACTTTCTTTAACCGTTTTTATCGATCATCTGATTAAAAATTCACACTGAGAAATACAAGAATAATATTACGTAATCAACGATTGAAATCATAGATTACGAAATCATTACAATCACATATTGATATTGTATTTAGAATCGGCGTATCTAAAATAACATCCGTTTTAAGGCCACTTTTCGAGGAAAGTGCAAATTTGTCGACTAATGACTAGTGCGCCGAAATTCCTAGATAATAAGCGTGGCGCGGCGTCGACATGTAATGGCCGTCTGTCGCGCCTACACGTGGATCCTCTTCGCGGCTCGTTTCTCTCTTTATCATTTTCTCTTTCTCTCTCTCTCTCTCTCTCTTAATCATGCTCGGCTCAATCCCTCTCCAGAACCGACCGACCGGCCGCCGCGTCGCCGCCGAGCTTTAATAAAGCCGGCGCGGCATGTCACTCATCGACGCACTTCAAACTCCGGGCCAGAGTTGGCACGATTTGAATAACAAGATGGGAGCGCGATTTAAACGGCGATATTTCAGCCCCTAATTAAGGCACTTATAATAAACGCGCGGCGCTCCCGTGGCTGTTACGTAATTCGCGCCGCTGAGCATCTCCCTCCAACCGAGACGCGCCTATTTCTAGGCCTGTTTATCCGATTGTCAGCCGCGGGAGATGAATTTTATTACATTTACTGAATCGATCGTCCGCATCGCATACCTATCGATCTCAAGGTAAAGATACTGCACGCGAACGATACAAAAAGATGTTTTCGATCTTTTTTTCGGATAAAGAAAACAAATTGCACGTATCATCCGTTCGTAAATAATTCCCGATAAATCGAGTCAAAAAAGATATAGGATACAATTTTTTCAAACATGGTTGAACAATTTTGAATTAAAATTAGAATCCAATTTTCGAGGTTTAAATTTTTCCTATTTGATTCGCTTTACGATAAAATAAAATAAAATAATAATTTAATAAAATTTATTAAATCCAAAGAAATCTTTGGTACCAAACTTGAACCTTGAATTTGAATTAAATCTTACTGTGTTCACAATTGTATAATCTTATTCTTAGGTCTTAATTCTTAGAATTGGAAAAAGAATAAATAGAATCGAGATTAAAATTAATCTTTCAATAATAATAGAACCGAGCTTATATCCGTTCCTATCATTGTAATTCAATTTTAATCTTGGTTCAACTAACTCTTCATTTTTTTCTAAGAATTAGAAAAATATAAACAACTTGAACCGAGATTAAAGTTAAATTGGTAGAAACGCGGGCATTAAAGTCCCTAGAGACGGAAGGTGCGATTCATTTAACGCTGCAAATGCTTCGTTGATCAATTGAAAAGAAAGAATTTTGCGAATTGACCAATCAAAAAATGCTTCAAAGCATTTAGAGCGTGAAGTGGATCGCACTCGGAGTCTGGGTATCGTCTAGACCCCTTTTGATTGGCATGCATTCACAATGGCGTTACCAATCAAAGTGTAGTATACCCTCACACCAACGCACACACATATTTTACATCTACGTACGCCATTTTGTTTGCATGGTGAGACTCTCTCTAGGGACTCTACTTACCCTATAATATAAAAGTCGCCTCCTCGCGCTTTCGAGTATGAATGAATATCGGAGCGCGGGAGAAGAAGGAGTGGCGGAGAAAGTCACGCACATTACGCGCTGAATCGCGCGGCTCGGTGATAAAAACCTGCGCCGCAACGATTTGCGTAACGACGACACACAGCCGCCGTCGCTGCCGCTGCCGTTGTCGCCGTTGCCGTCGCCGTCGCCGACTTGCCGATGATAATCGATTCGCTGGCGTGAATTATTAACTGGCTGTCGCGGCAATGTGTGAACGAACGGCCATCGAACGCAGAAAAAAAAACTGATAAAGACGGCGGGTTTGTGTCGCAGCTTTCGTTACGAAAACAAGGCGCCACCGCGGGAGCGATTTATGCGCGATAAAATTCCGCGATTTGATGCGAAATCGACGATCGTGCTGACAATGATCACGTCCGGTGTCTGTTTGCGAGCCAGCGAGGTTGCGCGTAAATTGAGCCGACGGGAAAAATAGGCGAGCGCCGGTCGCCGTACACGCGTCATTGCATATTGAATACGCGCGTTATTTCGAGCGATGTGGGCTAAATAACGTATGCGTCACGGTATGTTAAAATAAACGTGTACAATAAAAAAAGTATACTCAATTCTAGTGAATGGTTTATTTGAATAGTTCCAAGTATTTACTAAATGTAAATATATATTTATTTGGTACAAGAATCATCAATTTGATTTAATTATTATTTTTTATTGGGTAAATATTTATTTATCTTGCAATGTAAGTAAATGTTTACTCGATTCTATTAAAAAATATGTATCAAGATTTAGTAAATTCTTTTCCTAAATATTTTATGTATATAAAAATATATAAAATCAGTAAAAAAGATATTTTTTGCATATGTAGTACGATGCAATTTCTTGACTTGTTTAAAGTTAGCACCCTAACATTAAAATTCCATAGTTTTGATTATTTCTTGAATGATAAGTATTTTTTTACAAGACACTGTAGAATTCTCTTTTATATACGTATGGACACGATAATGTTCGCGAATGCCAGCACGTGGAGACCAGAGCGGAACATCATTTCAGTGCGTAGTCAGTCTTTGTTTTGAAACAACGGACTCTAAAGTGCCTTCGGAATTCTCCGCGATGTGCAGCGAGAGAGAACTCAAATTCCTAGGAAACCTATTCCCGATCCGTCGAAATCACTACCACGCGCGTCCCAGAGATTGAGAATATAATAAATATCAGTACCAGCCAAGATTCCCAACGCCTTCGCTGTCCCCAATTCCGATGATTCTCAAAAATTTCAATGATCGAAGGTCGGTATTGCAAGCAAATGTATTTATACTACATATTTGCCCTAGAAAATGTACATAATTGCAATAAATTAGTATACACTCTAATATTAAAACGATCATACATAAAGATAGAGTTCTATTCATTGTCACCAAATGTCGAGGAAAATCAAATGCTTGAAAGTGATATTTTTATACGAGAATTCACAAATAACATCTCACATTTTCTAATTCCAACGTTAACAGAAGCCAAAGGCGAAATGATAAATTTCGTTTCGAAGCAGCATGAGAGATTTATTAATTACCAGGATTTTTACAGAAATAGTCAGTATAACAAGCCCGAGACGAATTAGGGGAAGAATCAGTCGGCGTGATTGTTGAACCGGCGCGGCGGCGGCGGCGGCGAGTCGACCGCACAACGCGACCCAAGTCGGGTCGGGTCGGAGCTTGCTTGGGATACTCGTCGTTTGCCTGCTCGCTCGCCTGCTCGCTTGCCTGCTTGCCTGCCTGCTTTCGTGGAGTTCGACTCAGTTCGGTCAGCTCCTCGGCTAATACCGGCTGGCCTCGACAATTAGCTGGCGCCAGCAATGACACGCAGCGGCGCCGGGC